GCGGAGATTGGAGTATCTGTCCATAGGACCACTTTAAGCCGTACACTCCACAGAGCTGAGCTTTACGGAAGAGTGGCCAGAAAAAAGCCATTTCTTAAAGAAACAAATAAGCAAACACGTTTGGTGTTCGCCAAAAGGTATGTGGGAGACTCCAGAATTGAAGGAATGATGGATGGCGCTAAATACAGGGAAATTCTTGAGGGAAACCTGTTTCAGTCTTCCAGAGATTTGAGATTGGGACAGAGGTTCACCTTCCAGCAGGACAATGACCCTAAACATACTGCTAAAGCAACACTCGAGTGGTTTAAGGGGAAACATTTAAATGTCTTGGAATGGCCTAGTCAAAGCCCAGACTTCAATCCAATTGAGAATCTGTGGTGGAATGGCCTAGTCAAAGCCCAGACTTCAATCCGATTGAGAATCTGTGGTATGATTTAAAGATTGCTGTACACCAGTGGAACCCATTCAACTTGAAGGAGCTGGAGCAGAGAGACATACCCCAAGAGACTTGCAGCTGTAATTGCTGCAAAGGGTGGCTCTACAAAGTATTGACTTTGGGGGGGTGAATAGTTATGCACGCTCAAGTTTTCTTTTTTTTTGGTCTTATTTCTTCAAAGTGGTAGGCATGTTGTGTAATTCAAATGATACAACCCCCCCAAAAATCCATTTTAATTCCAGGTTGTAAGGCAACAAAATAGGAAAAATGCCAAGGGGAGTGAATACTTTCGCAAGCCATTGTATTGGGGACATTTGCAGCAGTCACGCATTCCTCAAGCTAACTCTCCTTACTTTCGGAACATTGTGTGTGTATGGGTATGTGTTTGTGAGTTTACGCAATGTGTGTTCTGGTAACTGTGTTTTATTAGGTGTGTGTTTGTGTATAAAACACAGTGTGTGTGCATTGCCTTGTATAAAGCTGTTGTGCGCATCTCTCTTTACAGATCTCCTCACTATGCCTGCCCAGAGGTCATAAGGGTAAGTGCACTCTCTCCACCTCTCTCTCTCTCTCTCTCTCTCTCTCTCTCTCTCTCTCTCTCTCTCTCTCTCTCTCTCTCTCTCTCTCTCTCTCACTCTCTATTTCTCTCACCTCAGTGCTCTCTCTCTCTCTCTCTCTCTCTCTCTCTCTCTCTCTCTCTCTCCTCTTTCTGTTTCTCTCCCTCCCATAATGGCATTGCAGCACAAGCCCACATACCCTCCAACCATTCACTTTAGAGAGCTCTCTCAGCTCTGTATACAATGAACCGTCTCTCAGCTCTTCACCCCTCAGGCAGTGGCAATGCCACACAGCCACGTGTTATGTCATCACAAGTTGTCTGATATAAGCAGTGCAGCTGTGAATCAGGTGTATGCCAGGTGGATATGTGCTTGCATTGTCAAGAAGGATCCTGCAAGTAAGCATTTCGTTGGACGGTGTATGCTAATGAAACTTGAAACAAAAACTGTGCTGTATGCCAGCTGTCATAGAGTTGGTTACTTACAGTGTCTTCAGAAAGTATTCACACCCCTTTACCTTTTCCACATTTTGTTGTGTTACAGCCTGAATAAAAAAATTATTACATTTTGATTTTGTGTCACTGGCCTACACACAATACCTCATTATGTTCAGGAGTAAAAATAATTGCTTAACAAGTCACATAATAAGTTCCATGAAAAATAATAGTATTTAACATGATTTTTGAATGACTACCTCATCTCTGTAGCCCACACATAGAATTATCTGTAAGGTCCCTCAGTCAAGCAGGGAATTTCTAACACAGATTCAACCACAAAGACCAGGGAGGTTTTCCAATGCCTCACAAAAAAAGTTATTAATTACACTTTGGATGGTGTATCAATACACCCAGTCACTACAAAGAAACAGGCGTCCTTCCTAACTCAGTTGCCGGAGAGGAAGGAAACCGCTCAGGGATTTCACCAAGAAGCCAATGGTGACTTTAAAACAATTACAGAGTTTAATGGCTGTGATAGGAGAAAACTGAGGATAGATCAACAACATTGTAGTTACTCCTCAATACTGACCTATTTGACAGAGTGAAAAGAAGGAAGTCTGTACAGAATACAAAAATTCCAAAACATGCATTCTGTTTACAATAAGGCACAAGCAACCAGACGCTGCACTTGACACATTTATGAAATTGCTTATCCCAGTTACTAATAAGCATGCACCCATTGACTGTAAAAACTGTTGTAAAAACGGTTAAATCCCTGTGGATTGATGAGGAATTAAAAAATTGTGTGGTTGAGAGTGATGAGGCAAAAGAGACGGCAAATAGGTCTGGCTGTACAACCGATTGGCAAATGTATTGCAAATTGAAAAATCATGTGACTAAACTGAATAAAAAGAAGAAGAAACTACACTATGAAACAAAGATGAATGACATAAAGAATGATAGTAAAAAGCTTTGGAGCACCTTAAATGAAATTTTGGGCAAAAAGGCAAACTCCGCTCCATCATTCATTGAATCAGATGGCTCATTCATCACAAAACCCACTGATATTGCCAACTACTTTAATGATTTTTTCATTGGCAAGATTAGCAAACTTAGGCATGACATGCCAGAAACAAACGCTGACACTACACATCCAAGTATATCTGACCAAATTATGAAAGACAAGCATTGTAATTTTGAATTCCGTAAAGTGAGTGCGGAAGAGGTGAAACAATTATTGTTGTCTATCAACAATGACAAGCCTGACAACTTGGATGGAAAATTACTGAGGATAATGGCGGACGATATTGCCACTCCTATTTGCCATATCTTCAATTTAAGCCTACTAGAAAGTGTGTGCCCTCAGGCCTGGAGGGAAGCAAAAGTTATTCCCCTACCTAAGAATAGTAAAGCCCCCATAACTGGCTCAAATAGCTATCCAATCAACCCTTAGTAAACTTTAGGGAAAGAATGTGTTTGACCAGGTACAATGCTGTTTTACTGTAAACAAATTGACTTTCAGCACGCTTATAGGGAAGGACATTCAACAAGCACAGTACTTACACAAATGACTGATGAAGGTTGTGGGGGCTGTTTTGTTAGACTTCAGTGTGGCTTTTGACATTATCGATCATAGTCTGTTGCTGGAAAAACATATGTGTTATGGCTTTACACCCCCTGCTATATTGTGGATAAAGATGTACCTGTCTAACAGAACACAGAGGGTGTTCTTTAATGGAAGCCTTTCCAACAAAATCCAAGTAGAATCAGGAATTCCCCAGGGCATCTGTCTAGGCCCCTTACATTTTTCAATCTTTACTAACGACATGCCACTGGCTTTGAGGTAAACCAATGTGTCTATGTATGTGGATGACTCAACACTATACACGTGAGCTACCACAGTGACTGAAATGAAAGCAACACTTAACAAAGAGCTGCAGTTAGTTTCAGAATGGGTGGCAAGGAATAAGTTAGTCCTAAATATTTCAGAAATTAAAAGCACTGTATTTGGGACAAATCATTCACTAAACCCTAAACCTCAACTAAATCTTGAAATGAATAATGTGGAAATTGAGCAAGTTGGTCAAAACATATTGATACAACAGTAGCTAGGATGGGGAGATTATAAAGTGCTGCTCTCCATTCATAACAACACTATCAACAAGGCAGGTCCTACAGGCCCTAGTTATGTCTCACCTGGACTACTGTTCAGTCGTTTGGTCAGGTGCCACAAAGAGGGACTTCTCAGAACAGGGCAGCACGGCTGGCCCTTGGATGTACAAAGAGAGCTAACATTAATAATATGTTTGTAAATCTCTCCTGGCTCAAAGTGGAGGAGAGATTGACTTCATCACTACTTGTATTTGTGAGAAGTATTGACATGTTGAATGCACCTAGCTGTCTGTTTGAACTACTGGCACACAGCTCAGACACCCATGCATACCCCACAATACATGCCACCAGAGGTCTCTTCACAGTCCCCAAGTCCAGAACAGACTATGGGAGGTGCACAATACTACTAGAGCCCTGACTACATGGTACTCTATTCCACATCAAGTAACTAATGCCAATAGTAAAATCAGATTTAATAAACAGATAAAATTACACTGTATGAAACAGCGGGCACTGTGAAGCAACACAAACATAGACACATGCATACAAACACACGATAACATACGCACCATACACACATGTACACATGGATTTTTTGTTATAGATATGTGGTAGAAGAGTAGAGGCCTGAGGGCACACATTTAATATGTTGTGAAATCTGTTATGAATGTATTGTAATGTTTTAAAAATGTATAACTGCCTTAATTTTGCTTGACCCCAGGAAGAGTAGCTGCTGCCTTGGCAGCAGCTAATGGGGATCCATAATAAATACAAATGCAAAAGTACAAATGCAAAAAATGTGGCAAATAAATTAGCTTTATGTCCTGAATACAAATGGTTAGGTTTGGGGCAAATCCAACACGTCACTTAGTACCACCCTTCATATTTTCAAGCATGGTGGTGGCTGCATCATGTTATGGGTATGCTTGTCATCGGCAAGGACTAGGGAGTTTTTTAGAATACAAAGAAACAGAATAGAGCTAAGCACAGACAAAATCCTAGAGGAAAACCTGGTTCAGTCTGCTTTCCAACAGACACTGGCAGACAAATTCACCTTTCTGCAGGACAATAACCTATAATACAAGGCCAAATATATACTGGAATTACATTGAATGTGGCCAAGTTACAGTTTTGACTTAAATCTGCTTGAAAATCTATGAAAAGACTTGCTTTAAAGGTTTCCAGTTCATAAAAATAATGTGGAATCTGTATCTCACCTCCATAACAAAATACATAGTTGATTACTCTCTTTCTCTCTATTTTTGTCTGTCGTTATCTCTGTCTCACTCTCCCTCACCCTTCCTCACCTCATTCTCTCTTGTTCTCTTTCTCCCCCTCTTTCTCTCTCTCTCTCTCTCTCTCTCTCTCTCTCTCTCTCTCTCTCTCTCTCTCTCTCTCTCTCTCTCTCTCTCTCTCTCTCTCTCTCTCTCTCTGTCTCTCTATCTCTCTCTCTCTCAGGGAGAGAAGTACGACGGGAGGAAAGCAGACGTGTGGAGCTGTGGGGTCATCCTCTTTGCACTTTTAGTGGTGAGTGATTGACAGCTGCCGTTGCCCTGACGATGACCCTGACACGTGCCAGCATCCTGCAATGGTCCTTAACGCTCATCCTCCCTCTCTCCCTCTGACCCGCAGCAGTAAACAAACAACAATAAAATAACAAATACATACTAGCTAGTTTTTTAGTCCTGTGTGCTTACGCAACTTCTAAACCGGAATGAGAATAGGGAGAATAAACAGGAAGGAGTGCGATAAGTTCATCTGTGAGTCCCTCAGGCATATGTTGAGTTAGTGTTGTGGTATGACGTGAGGTAAAGTGACAGGGGACGGAGCTTCATGTGACACAATAAGTCTTCATGGGAAGCTGCACCTCAGTGACTCGCTGGCTTTGGTCTACAGTGTCTTGATTATGATTTTAAATACCCTGGGGAGGAATTTGAGGTAAGGGACAGGACAAGGTTTGGAGACATAACTTAATAAATGTGGTAAAACAAACTTATTGCCAATGGCCTGTGATTCCAGTTCTTTATCTGTATAGAATATAAGTGAAAGATGACATTAGATTATTGGATCAGGACTGAAAATTAAATCAGCACCCTCCATCCTTTCATCCCCATATGATTGGTTGATTCATCATGTTTCTGATTGGAGCAGGGATTTCCAGGGCTGGCTTGACTGTCAGCTTTGTACTGACACACATATGCTCATGAATTAGAGTGTGTCACCAGCATTCACACACCACTCTGATTAGACAGTGACAAAGTGGGGAAGCCGAGAACAAAGGAAATTATAGGCTGCGTGTGTGTGTCTGTGTGTGTGTGTTTCTCCATTTTGTGTCAATATGGACATCTATTCTGTCTCCCTGATGAAGGCATGTTGAGATGGGAAGAGACCCTATCAGTCATGCTATCGTAAACTACACCTCCCATCATTAAAAGTATGAATACTCTGCCTGTTTCAAATGTCAGATAGCCCTTCAATGATTGCCATGGGTAATGCTCATGTATTGCCTTGCCTAGTGTCTCTGGAAACCATTCATATTAGAGATTTTGAAGAAGGCTGACTAGATTAGGGCTATGCTTTGGCTAACATCAAAAAACCAAGATTTGTGTCTTTGTCAGATAGACCTATATTGACTGCCATAATACTTATTCACTGTATTCCTTTGGTTAACAACAATAACCTTATTGTTTGTCCTTGTCAGATGTATACAGTAAAGTATCACCTGGCAGTCTTTAACTTTTCTACTTTGGCATGGCTCTAGATTTCCAATGCCGACTTACTGAGTGATATTATATATGGCCGGTTTCCCGGACACATATTAAGCCTAGTCTTGGACTAGGAAACACTTTCAATTGGGAAATGGGAATCTCTGTTGAACATTCTTTTTCGTCCAGGACGAGGCTTTAAGTGGGTCCTGTAGACCAGCCCTACGAATATATGTAGTGGAACTTGAGCATCATTCTGGTATTAATGCTCCTCTGTGTTGTTCAGAGGACCACAGTGGAAATAAATTGTTAACTTTTTTTGTGTTATCCTTGGTGATTTGAATGCAGTGTATCCACTTGGCTGGCTGGAATTATAAATCAAATCTTATCAATCTCAGGGCGCCCTGCCATTTGACGATGACAACCTGAGAAACCTGCTGGAGAAGGTGAAGCTGGGTGTTTTCCATATGCCTCACTTCATCCCTCCAGACTGTCAGAACCTCCTTCGGGGCATGATCGAGGTGGATGCCACTAAGAGACTCACGGTACATTCCTCTAAGATCAGCTCTAGGATCAGATGTATGTTCGTAACCCCCTTATTTCAGGTAGACAATCCCCTTAATATCTGCTCTAGGATCAGTTTACACCCCTAAGAGGTGGGAATGGCCCACCTAATCTACCGCTAAGATCAGGCCTAGGATCAGATGTATGTTCACAACACCCTTGTTTCAGCTTGAAGATGCACTTAATACTACAATTGTTCACACTTTCAGGTGAAAGGTAAATTGAGTCTCAATCAATAAAGGGGGCTACTTCAAAAGGGCCTGGCAGATAGAAATGTACCAAACAAACTTTATTACCACAAAATATTTACTACCACAGTATAAGTCAAAGCATCTCCCCCAGCTCTCACCCACAGTACTAGTAAAGCAGAAATCACTTATCACTGTAGAGAAAGGGATACATTTTTCCCTTATTTAGACCAAAGACACTCAGGGGCAGTTTCTCATGCTCAGATTAAGAGTATTCCTGAACTAAAAAGCACTTTTAACGATGTTTCTACAGTTAGCATGTCCTTTTGTCCAGGAGTAGACTTAATCTGGGTCCGGGAAACCTCCACTCTGGGTCTAGGCTCTAGACAGTAATCCCATTGACTCTGTCTGTTCGGTTCAGACATCTGAGACACAGACAGGCAGCACTTCAAAACCCTCCCACAGCTACAGTGTGACTTCCTCCAACAGTTTATTAGATTACTCTTGCTCACATCAGCGTTAAGAGCTTTCTGTCAAGGAGAGGGTGATTTCCCAGTTGCCCAACGTCTTAGTATCTCTGGCTAAGATGGTTTTCTATCTGTTTAATCTACTCGACAAATAACATTAATATTAATGCTATAATGTGTTTAATTTATTTCTATGTATTGAAGTAACTGGAAGCCCCATAGAAATAGAATGAATATACACTACATGACCAAAAGTATGTGGACACCTGCTCGTCGAACATCTCATTCCAAAATCATGAGCATTAATATGGAGTTGGTCCCCCCTTTTCTGCTATAGCAGCCTCCACTCTTCTTGGAAGGCTTTCCACTAGATGTTGGAACATTGCTGCAGGGACTTGCTTCCATTCAGCCACAAGAGCATTAGTGAGGTTGGGCACTGATGTTGGGCAATTAGGCCTGGCTCGCTGTCGGCGTTCCAATTCATCCCAAAGGTGTTCGATTGGGTTGAGGTCAGGGCTCTGTGCAGGCCAGTCAAGTTATTCCACACCGATTTTGACAAACCATTTCTGTATGGACCTCGCTTTGTGCACGGGGGCATTGCCATGCTGAAACAGAAAAGGGCCTTCCCAAACTGTTGCCACAAAGTTGGAAGCACAGAATCATCTAGAATGTAATTGTATGCTGTAGCGTTAAGATTTCCCTTCACTGCAACTAAGGGCCCTAGCCCGAAACATGAAAAACAGCCCCAGACCATTATTCCTCCTCCACCAAACGTTACAGTTGGCACTATGCATTTGGGAAGGTAACGTTCTCCTGGCATCCGCCAAACCCAGATTCGTCCGTCGGACTGCCAGATGGTGGTGAGCTTTACACCACTCCAGCCGACGCTTGGCATTGCGCATGGTGATCTTAGGCTTGTGTACGGCTGCTCGGCCATGGAAACTCATTTCATGAAGCTCCCGACGAACAGTTATTGTGCTGACGTTGCTTCCAGAGGCAGTTTGGAACTCGGTAGTTAGTGTTGCAACCGAGGACAGACGATTTTTACGCGCTACACGCTTCAGCACTCGGCAGTCCCGTTCTGTGAGCTTGTGTGGCCTACCACTTTGCGGCTGAGGCGTTGTTGCTCCTTGAAGTTTCCACTTCACAATAACAGCACTTACAGTTGACCGGGGCAGCTCTAGCAGGGCAGAAATTTGACGAACTGACTTGTTGGAAAGGTGGCCTCCTATGACGGTGCCACGTTGAAAGTCACTGAGCGCTTCAGTAAGGTCATTCTACTGCCAATGTTTGTCTATGGAGATTGCATGGTGGTGTGCTCGATTTTATACACCTGTCAGCAATGGGTGTGGCTGAAATAGACTAATCCACTAATTTGAAGGGTGTCCAGATACTTTTGTACATATAGTGTATTATATTTTTTGTCTCTACAGTAGGTAAAAGCGGAGTTGTTGCTAGAAGCCTTAAGTGTGTCGTAATGCATACAGTAAGAACAGATAAGGCATGTTGCCGTGTTCACTTGTCTGTCTGTCTGTCTGTCTGTCTGTCGCAGCACCTGTTCCACATGCTGTGTCATTAACACAATGTTTTTTCCTCTTCCTGTTTGTCTCTACAGTTAGAGCAGATCCAGAAGCACAACTGGTACATGTGAGTACAGCTCCTTTCTCTGTGTGTGTGTGTGTGTGTGTGTGTGTGTGTGTGTGTGTGTGTGTGTGTGTGTACATGCATACGACTGGCTGTTTTGTGCATACTCTAATAGATATATGCACTATGCACTTTTATCAGTGAAATTAAATTACATTGACAAAATGTAGCAAATATTCAAACAAAGGGTCAGTAGATAAAAGTATTGCACTTATATAGGCTAAATTTGGGAACGCGAAACTAATGGAAGCTAAATGCAAACTTTTTTACAGCCTTTATATTAAGAGATGGTAGGCCCATTAGGCCAGATGAGATAGGTCTATGTTTTGCTACGCTCTAGCAGTTGCCCTACACACCACCGGAACATAAAAGACCATCATGTTCTTAGTTTTAATGGAACTCTGTTCTGTTCCTAAATGGCTTGGTCTTAACAATGCAGGCTTTAAATACCTCCTCTCAGAAAAGTGCCAAGGACCGTTCTACTGTTCAGCAATTTAATAGTGTGTGTTGCTCACTGCTACATTATAGCAGTATATCATTGCTATTTAGCAATCTACGATATTGTATACTGAACAAAAATATAAATGCAACATGTAAAGTGTTGGTCCCATGTTTCAATAAAATATCAAAAGTAATAAAAGATCCCAGACGAAATAAAAGATCCCAGACGTTTTTCATACGCACGAAAAGCTTATTTCTCTCAAATGTTGTGCACAAATTTGTTTACATCCCTGTTAGTGAGCATTTCTCCTTTGCCAAGATAATTCATACACCTGACAGGTGTGGCATATCAAGAAGCTGATTAAACAGCATGATCATTACACAGGTCCACCTTGTGCTTTGGACAATAAAAGGCCACTCTAAAATGTGCCGTTTTGTCACACAAAACAATGCCACAGATGTCTCAAGTTTTGAGGGAGCGTGCAATCGGCATGCTGACTGCAGGAATGTCCACCAGAGCTGTTGCCAGATAATTGAATGTTCATTTTTCTACCATAAGCCGCCTCCAACGTCGTTTTAGAGAATTTGGCAGTAAGTCCAACCAGCCTCACAACCGCAGACCACATGTAACCACGCCAGCCCAGGACCTCCACATCCGGCTTCTTCACCTGCAGGATCATCTGAGACCAGCTACCCGGACAGCTGATAAAACAGTGGATTTTCACCAGACATGTCACCCATTGAGCACGTTTGGGATGCTCTGGATCGATGTGTACGACAGCGTGGACCAGTTCCCGCCAATATCCAGCAACTTCGCACAGCCATTGAAGAGGAGAGGGACAACATTCCACAGGCCACAATCAACAGCCTGTTCCACTCTATGATGACCGCGCCGCATGAGGCAAATAGTGGTCACACCAGATACTGATTGGTTTTCTGATCCACACCCATACCTTTTTATTTAGGTATCTGTGACCAACAGATGCATATCTGTATTCCCAGTCATGTGAAATCCATAGATTAGGGCCTAATGAATTTTCTTCAATTGACTGATTTCCTTATGTGCACTGTAACTCAGTAAAATCTTTGAAATTGTTGCATGTTGCGGTTATCTTTTTATTCCGTGTATATCTTCGTCATGTTTGGTGGATTCATTTTCTTAATGGTAAAGTAGTTTCACAATTCTAATAGCTTCGTAGTGTATTTTTGTCATTGCTAACATTGTAAAATATGAAGTTCATATTGAATGAGCTGGTTAAGAAACTACGATTTAAAGATAGTGCCTTTCTCTAAGCAGTAAGAAGCAGATTATTCAGTCAAACTTTTTATATGTTCTTGATTATGGTGATTTTATTTATCAGAGTGCAGCTGCCACTACTCATCAACCTTTGGATGCCATCTACCATAGTGCCCTTCGTTTTGTTACAGATGACAGTTTTGATACTCATCACTGCATCCTGTATAAAAACGTTGGCTGGACTTCGCTAAAGACCCGTAGATCTCTACGTTACTCCCTTTTTGGCCCTACTTCCTTAAACTTCCGTCTTATCTAACTTTGCTGTTGAAGTATAGACACCTGAGTTGCCTAACATGTTCACAGGATTGGTTAACTCTTGAGGTTCCTAGGGTCTCCACCAAGCTAGGTAAATCTGCTTTTAGTTTTAATGCACCGTATTGCTGGAACAAAATTCGAAATACATTTCATCTTGATGTTATAGTGCCGTTCTGACAATTTAAAGTATTGACAGGGGACTTCTTTGAGAAGGAATGTAACTGTTTTTCTGGGTGATTTGTGATGTTTTATTTGTGCTTACCATGACTGTGTTTTTGTATTTTAGGGTGTGTGTATATATATATATATATATATATATATATATATATATATATATATATATATATATTGTGTATAATGTGTATATTTATATTGTAATATACAGGGCGCATGAAAAAAAGACCTAGGTCTCAATATGTCTTCCCTGTTCAAATAAAGGTGGATAAAAAATGTAATTAAATCTGTCAGTCATTCCTGTCATTCTTCCTGTCTGTCAGAGCTGGGAAGAACGAGCCAGAGCCGGAGCAGCCTGTCCCCAGGAAGGTGGCCATCAGAACCCTGAGCACTGAGGAGATAGACCCAGACGTCCTGGAGAGCATGCACTCTCTGGGTTGCTTCAGAGACAAGGGCAAACTCACCAAAGACCTGCTTTCTGACGAGTGAGTGATAGAGGGATGGGAGGGAGAGAGTAAGAGGGCGAGGGAGGAAGGGAGGACTGTAAGGGTGGAAGGGTTAAAGAAGTGCACTCTGTGCTGCTTCAGGGACGAAAACAAACTCACCAAAGACTTGCTCTCTGATGAGGGAGGGAGGGAGGGAGGGAGGGAGGGAGGGAGGGAGGGAGGGAGGGAGGGAGGGAGGGAGGGAGGGAGGGGGAGGGAGGGAGATCATGGACTCACTGGGCTGTGTCAGAGATGAGGGCAAACTGACGAAAGATCTGCTCTCTGACAAGAGGGAAGGAGAAAGGGATGGAGAGATACGGAGGGAGAAATGGAAGTGTCAGCGAAGTCATCCACACTGAGGTGCTTCAAGGACATCTGACAGGATGACTTTACTGTCTTGTCTCTCCAGTGATAACCAGGAGAAGATGATCTACTTCCTGCTGCTGGACCGGAAGGAGAGGTACCCCAGTCAGGAGGACCAGAACCTCCCTCCGCGCAGTGAGATAGGTAGGCTGGTCCAAATCACCCCCACACAGTAGGAGAAGTAGACTAGTCCAAACCTTCTATGCCTTTTATGAATGAAAACCTGAAGTAGCTACACCATAACTCGGATAAGATGTTCTGTCACACATGTAGTTGGTTTGTTGCTGACTAGTTCTCTTTCTCTCTTCACTTGCTTCTCCCCTGACCCCTAACCTTTGACCCCTGACCCCTGTTCAGCTGACCCGCCCAGGAAGCGTGTGGACTCCCCCATGTTGAACCGCCATGGGAAGAGGAGGCCGGAGAGGAAGTCTATGGAAGTGCTGAGTGTCACAGAGGGGGGCTCTCCTGTACCCGTACGACGAGCCATCGACATGGCCACACATGGACAGAGGTATGGTGTGATGTACACATACAGTACATGGACTCACTCACACGTATCATATTGACATACATACTCACATGCGTGTAAAAACATACACGCACTCACACACACACACATACACACTAATGCTCACACGAACACACACACCCCGGGCAGTCTCCGACTGTGTACATACTTAGCACTACAGAGTCAATGTGAGGACATGCTTTTCAGAGAGCACCCCATGTTCTCCATTCAAAGTAGAGATTAAAGCTAGTGAATAACAGAACCACAGGACCTCTGATTAATATGAGTGGTCTGTAGTCCCAACTCTCAGTGTAGTACTCTTAAATTACTGAATATTAAAGACATGCTCCTGAACTTTGGCGACTACTAAGTCATTTGTAAACCTCCCGTTTTGGGAAGGATGTGTCAATGTGTAGTTCATACATGCATAATCTATGAGTTACTGTCTTACCTCAATTAGCCATGAAATCTTTAGTTTGAAAGCGACTGTTTAGCTTGAAGCTGTGCCGCGCCATTTTCCCTACACTGAGCTTCAGCCCCTCACATTTGAGTGACAGCTAGCAAGAGGCCTGCCCAGTGTTATCCAACGAGGTTGCATGGCAGGCCCAACGGCTCAGTGGACACAGCAGAGACAGAGAGAGCAATGGCGTGGTGTACATATCTGCACATATGTGACGTAGTATGCAATTTTGATGGCCACTTCTGTCTTGTGAGTGCTACTTTCAGAACTACTGGCTGAGAAGTATACAAAATTACCGGAGAATCTCTTTAAGAAACACAGACACGTGCATGCATGGACACACACGCGCACACACAAACGCACACCGGATTCACATACGTAGCAGTAGGGTGCCTACATATTATGGCACCCTGCTGGATATCTCTGTCTATTAGTTCAATCTGCTGTGTGTGTACTTCCAGTAGAATCCCTCTCCTCACTAACTTTATTATTAAGCTGCTTAGGGTGTTATGACAGTCTAACACAGACAGAAAAGCTAAAAAGTTTACAACTTTCTGCGCGGGTGAGTCATCCAAAGAGGATAGAGGTTTTAAGACTTCAACTTTTCATCGACTGTTAGAAAGTATGCCAAATGTGAGAATACCCCATATTATCATGATCCTTCAAAGTGTCTTACCCCTCTGTTTAATCTGTTTTTAATTGCTGATTAATATATTCATGTCATGTGTGAATCTTGTTTTATGTTTTCATTGTCATGTCTTGATCAATTATTTTTCTTCTTCTGTTAACTTTTCCTTTCAAGACTACTATTATTTACTGTGCATTGGTCATTGTGAGCAATAGCCAGCTCTGGATCGCATACACAGCTAATGTGAGGTTGCCAACTCATGACCTGTACAATAATCTGTACTTTTTAGGGAATGCTTAGAATCAGTCCCTTTATGTGACTGTCTTTCTGTCTGTCTCTTTATTTTCTTTCTGTCTGTCTGTAGTAAGTCTGTTTTCAGTAAAAGCTTGGATATCACAAACGCTAACCTCACCAAAGAAGAAAGGTATTTGTCACTTTTGTCTGTCTGTCTTGCCACAGTTGAGTTGCAGAGGGGTTTTCCCATTCATATTCTCACAATGTTTAAGTCTATAAGCCTTTGAGAGGGTAGTCTAGTAAACTTAAATAAAAACTAAGCTCCATTCTTGTCTGCATAAAATGAATTCCCAAAGAATCTAACCTCTTGCTGTTAGAATTCTTCTAAAACCTTTACCAGAAGTTCACTTGACTGCCCGGCTATCTGATAATGAATTCAGACAAAAAAGCCCTTATTTTTATACTGTGGTAAACTAGGCCAATGTGATCAGGCCTAGACTGAACTGAAGGAGAGAGGAGATAGAGAAGAGATAGAGGGAGGTTCTCTATACCCTCGGCTGCTTCCATGCACATCAAAAGCATCTTATCCTCCCTCTCCTTCTTTTGGCCCCTCTCTTCCCTTTGATGCTGTAGTTTTGGTGTCCCAGGGCAGATCCACATTTTTAGGTCAACTTCCTTGTTTCCCTGTTTTGCCTCCTTCCCCATTTTGTGTGTGTGTGTCTGTGTGCCTGAACGGGTGTGTGTCTGTGTTTGTTTGTCTTCTGACGTTTTATTTGTGAGGTTACATCATCACGGTGCGTCAGGTCCAATCTTCCTTTCAAAGCCTATTCACGGATGACCTTGTGTCCAGGAACACAGTTTAGAGACGCTTCCCTGGTCCGCCCCCCCCACCCCACCGCACCGTACAGCGAGAGATTAGCATAAATTAATTGGTGGGAATGCAGATGGGGCGTTTTGCTGGAGCGAAGAAGAGTAGAACAAACAGGGATGGAAATAAGGCATTCACATCCCTCTGAATAGTCTTTTATCTCCATTATCTAATTAGAGTGATACAGTGGTACACACACACACATACACACCAATGCGCATGTACACACAAACACACATACAGACACACACACATTGTATTTCATCGGCATCGAACAACAGATTACTTTCAATTATGTGCTTGAAAGACTACCTGATCTTGGCGAGGTGTGTTTGATTGTACACACAAGTACAATAATGTGTTGTAATTAAAAAGCACCTAACCTTGCCCAACATCAACATGCAGCAGAATAAGCAACGAACCGCCATAACATTTCCGATGTTTAGGCCTCCGAGTGGCGCAGCAATCTAAGGCACTGCATCACAGTGCTTGAGGCGTCACAACAAACCCCAGGCTGTGTCACAACCGGCCGTGACCGGGAGTCCCATAGGGCGGCACACAATTGGCCCAGTGTCGTCCGGGTTAGGGGAGGGTTTGGCTGGGGGGGCTTTACTTGGCTCATCGCGCTCTAGCGACTCCTTGTGGCGGGCCGGGCGCCTGCAGGCTGACATCGGTCGTCAGTTGAACTGTGTTTCCTCCGACACATTGGTGCGGCTGGCTTCCGGGTTAAGCGGGTGGGTGTTAAGGAGTGTGGTTTGGCAGGTCATGTTTCGGAGGACGCATGACTCGACCGTCACCTCTCCCGAGCCCGTTGGGGAATTGCAGCGATGAGACAAGATCGATATTGGGGAGAAAAAGGGGGGTAAAATAAAAGCTATATGACTATGTGTATATGCAGAGGCGCAACTTTGGTTTTAGAAGTTGGGGGGGACATAATTATTCGTATTCTTATTTTATTTTTATCCAGTCGGATAAACACTCCAAACAGCCTACCCGACTGCTCGGAGGCGTCCGCATGGTCCTAAAGCACACTGTTGCCTCGTTTTGTATCACATTCCAATGATAAAACTGGCGGGGACAAAAATGCAATTTCAGAATGTGGGGGGGGACATGTCCCCCCTGTCCCCAGTGAAAGTTGCGCCCCTGTGTATATGACAAAATATATGTTTGACACGTATGTGCTCAATATGCCTTTACAACATAAACTCAGTTATCAGTATTTACTATGTCAGAATACAGTATGGTAAGCTCATAGAGAGACTTCTGAGGGAAACTCCCCTGCATCTTAACTCTGTGGTCTTGAGATGTGGCTTATAGTATGTCTCCCTTCAAAAATCTTCTTCTGTTCTCCATTGTTACTGTTTCATGTAGTTTGTGGTGCAGTAATGTTACTTAATCTCCCGTATCCCTACTGTGAACTCGATGTCTGTCTGTGTAGAGCCCTGTCTGGAGGATTCCATTGCGGTTCGGTGAAAGGCAACTCAGCTCTTAGTTTCTTGTTTGCTCGCCTTGCGCTTTGTATTACTGTCGCCATTTTGTAATCCAGATAGCATTGATAAGGTTATGGATGAAATCCTTCCCCGAGGTTGAAGCTTAGTGTGTGTGCGTGCGTGCATGCGAGTGCACATGCGTGGTACACTGCAGCACATTTAACTATGATTTACTGTTTCAATTTGAGTTTCCAACAAAATAGCCAAATCGTCTATGGCAAATGAAATCCCCAAACCTCGCTTGGCATCAGTGGCCCTATGTGATGTGAGGGAGGGAGGGAGGGAGGGAGGGAGGGACAACAGTGGAGGGACAAGAGAAGGGGAAGAAATAAAAGAAGGAAGATATGAAAAGTTAATGAATTGTAAATGAAAAATGAAAAGGCTCCTCATCTGGTGTAGAATAGAGACACGGCGCTGATACATTTTGCAGTGTGTGTGTGTGTACTCACGGTGTAGCTGACATGTTTGAAGTATTTATAGATGTTTACTTTAGACCCTGATGCTTTGCATGTCTTGTTGTCGTGTAGACAGACACGTTTGGCGATTACACCAAATCTAGTATTTAAAAGTCAACCTTTCAATTGTCTGTTGTTTTAGTCTACAGCCACTGTGTGACTGTGTTAGTCATATTGCACACACGAGGCCATTTGAGGCTATGCACAAGGACAGCTCTGATGCCTCATCAAAGATAAAAGGAGAGGTAGAGGAAGAGGGAGACCGAGATTGACAGACAGAGAGAGAGAGAGAAAAAAGAGAGATGGAGAGCGTGATGAGCCAGAAAGAGAGTGAGTAAGAGGGAGAGAGAAAGAGAGAGTTAGAGAGAGAGAGTGACCAATGTGACTGATAGAACGCTGAGGAAAACAGACTATGTAGTGAGCATAGCCTTGCTATTGCGATGCTGCCGTAGGCAGACCTGGCTCTCAAGAGAAGACAGGCTATGTGCACACTGCCCACAAAATGAGGTGAAAACTGAGCTGCACTTCCTATTTCCCTCACGTTACATGGACCCCCAAATAGTTTGAAAACAAATCAAATATTGATAAACTCCCATATCTGTTATGTGAAATACCGCAGTGTGCACTCATCGCAGCAAAATCTATGACCTGTTGCTGCGATAAGAAAATAAAAGGGCAACCAGTGGAACACAAACACCAAAGTAAATTAAAGCTATATTTATCTGTTTATTTATTTCCCCTTGCCATTTTTACTTCTACTATGTGCACATTGTAAAAACACTACACATAGTTAATAATATAACATTTCAAACGTCTTTCTCTTTTTGAATCTGTTTAATGTTAATTGTTAATCTGTGATTGTTTATTTCACTTGCTTTGGCAATGTAAACATTGCTTCCCAATAAAGCCCATTTGAATTGAATTGAAATGAGAGAGAGAGAGAGAGAGAGGGAGTGATTGAAGGACAGAGAGAAATGTGTTTAATAAAACAGCTCAGAAATCCCAACCTAAATAGACTCCCTCCCCAGGGGTGAAATAACCATGGCTACATCCACAGTTATCCATCCTTGTTTGAGTCAATCTCCTCTACTTACCCTTTATGATTGAATATCCGCCAACAACTTTGCTCAGGGCAAAGTTGTCAAAAAGTACAGATAGCGCCATACTGTACAAAGTGCTACAGCCACATACAACTGTGTTCAAGGTAGCTACGTTAGTTTAAGGAACTCATCATCTTCTGATCTCTTTCCTCTACTTCTTTCAATAGCTTCAGGTAGAAAATGCCATTAGGCACAGATCTAAGATCAGCTTACCCTCCCAAATTGCAACTTTAACCATTATGGGGGTAAATCACAAAACCAATCTTAGATCAGTGTATAGGGGCAACTTTATCCTACTCCTTTTGGCGCTTATATGTGTTTGTTCCCCATGCTTTTTGTCCTCCCTCCAACAATGGGTGTGCTAGTGTGTGGTCATGTTGTAGGGTTCAGTGTTTTCCCGTTGTAGCGCACATATTGCATTGTCAGAGGATGTCTTTAACCCTGTGTGTGTGTGTGTGTCTGTGTGTCTGTGTGTGTGTGTGTCTACAGGTCACGGTCTATCAGCGGAGCGTCCTCCGGTCTCTCCACTAGTCCTCTCAGCAGTCCCAGGGTAAGAGTTTGGTTGTCCCGTACCACACACTGGCCCACACTGCACCGCACCAACTCACCTCACCGCTGGCTCTGCTGTGCTGTGGATGTCACCGGAATGCACACACTGCTATTCACTCGCTACGGCCACTCATAAGGCTATACATAAGGCAGCTCATAGAGGAATCCATGGTAAAATCTCTTTGAAAGCCCATCTGACATGAAGCCTGCATAATCCTGTCATAAGAATAGTGTAAAGCTACCAGTCACTATACCCTATGACAGCTTATGATTAGGGCCCTGTGTTTTGGTCAGTCATGTCACATGACCTGGATTTTAACTTTCTTTTTATGTCAGATGGTCCAACACCATCCTCAGACAATGGCTTTCATTTTTGGTGTAATTCTATTTCTGGAAAAGGCTTAAAATAAAGGTTAAAATCTACGTCATGTGACATGATATCCCAAAACACAGGGCATGAGTTATGACACCTGACATAACGCTGATATGAGGTATTAGTGTGGGTCACAGATGAATTTTTTATAATTTATACTTCATTCATGGGTTGTATCAGTTGTTATACTGTAATATACGGTTGGTTATCATGACCTGTTACGACTGTTGTTATATCATTGTTATGACAGAGCTATGTAGGCTGTATGTCATAGGGCTTCTTGTGAAGTATCATTGGATCCATGTGAGGCCTCATAAGGGCTTACGTACTAATGAGGGAACCCATTATTCTTGTTTTAAAGTTCTCAATTCCCCCAACAGCTCATCAGATTGTAAACACATCCATTATTATAAGTCCCATATGTGGGATTTGGTGTTCAATGACCGGTACTATAAAATAGGAACATAAGCCATCAAAGTCATCTTCGATTAGGGAATACATTGGAAAATGCTGCCATGTTAAATGTAAAGGTTAGGGCTACAAATCAACAAACCAGCTCCTAGCTAGCATGCACAGTTCCTCCATTATTTTACTAAGGCCATGCATTTTTAAAGCCAGCCCTTAGTGAGGATACAAACATGCAGTCATCACATATTCTGACTCTTCTTACGGAACTGTCAGTGTTATGAAGGATTCTGTAAAAGTTTCAAATATTTATATCTGTCAGCAACCCCAGCTGGGGTTTTGTGCCTAAATGTTATTTCATATTATTTTTTATGATGAGTGATACTGGTGATGCCATTTTAGTTCTCCTTTTTTAAGTATAAATATTGTGCCGATTATGTAAGGCTACATATTATGTCACACATTGATGGGATCACTCTACTGAGGGACATGGGGATTAGGGTTTAGGAGTGTAATTTGACCTTTAAACTTTAGAGCACCCACATGCACGCACGCACGCATACACACACACACACACACATACACACACATACACACACACATAGAGACATACACGCTCATGCGTTATATTTAATGAGGATCACTTCACTAAGGCAGTCATCATAGACGCTTCATAATGCTGCCATATGAGTGACACAACAAAAAGCCGATAAACCTTGCATAAACTTTTAAAACATGCCAGTTTTCATAAGCTGTCATAAACTTTCATGTCCTGTCATGATAGTTGCTATGTCATTCATGCCACAGCATTGTGCATGCAGTATGGCTGCTTTCCACCAATGAAGTCTGGAAGCTAATGCAGTTAGCTTTGGGTGATGTTTCAGTTGCTGGTTTGGGTTTGGCTTCATGAATGCTTGTAATGCTCTACACTTCTCTCCCCCATGGTGCTGCTGCCTCCTGGTTGGCTGGTTGTGCTAATGGCATGTTCTTCTTGTCTTTCTTTCTGCACTCTCACCACTCTCCCTGCCTGTGTGTCACTTGCTCCACCTATCCTCTCCTCCATGTCATTTCTTACTATATTGCTGTTTTTGTCCTGGTGCCATTTCATTGCAATCCACCTTTATTGGGCTGTGGGGTTTTCTATATATGTCCCCTGGCTTCTGGGCGTGGTCTCTCATTGGCTGCCTGCGCTGTCAATCTAACGGTGCATGTCCAATCGCAGCCGGTCCGGCGCTTCTTTATCCCGCCCCAGTCGCCGGACCTCTGTCAGTCGCCCAACTGTAGCCCCACCCATTCCCCAGAGTCCCGCCTTAACCATAACGGGGTAGGGGGGGCCAACCGCGTGCATCCACACCCGCTCCCCAACTCCTACACGCCAAAGATGGGGTCCCCCCTGATGCACCCCCGCACACAGACCCTCCCCGCCAAGCCCAAAGTGTCTGAGAAGCCCCTTCAGACCACCAGGTCCAACCCCCTTCCCAACTCGGCTGACAGCCCGCCCACCTCCCCCTCCTCACCCCTGGGCAGCCCCCCCTGTGTCCCCAACAGCCCGCGGCCACGCCGCCACCCACCCCTCACCGTGCCCCCCAAGCTCTCAATCCCCCTATCTCAAGTGCCACCCATGTCCCCCCTATGCCGGCACCGCCTCCACCCTGACCACAACGGTCACAAATCTGTCCCCACCATACAGGTGACCCCCCACCCCTCTCCGCGGGGGAGCCCCCTCCCCACCCCCAAGGGCACTCCGGTGCACACACCCAAGGAGAGCCCGGTGGGCACCCCCAGCCCCACGCCACCCCCCAGCCCCTCCATCGGCGGGCTGCCCTGGAGGACGCGTCTCAACTCCATCAAGAACAGCTTCCTGGGCTCGCCGCGCTTCCATCGCAGGAAAATGCAAGGTACTGGAATGTACTGGGGTAGGAGACTTGGGGAGGGGGACGAGAGGTGAGGGTTTCCACAAACACTAACAGTGGGTATAGGAATGGGACCCTTTGTTGGCTCACAGCTACATCCTTCTGGGCTGCGTAGATCATCCCCAGCTCAATGACATGCTGGAACCACCTGGTCAAGGGGATTGGTCACCATGAGTTTTAAAATCCTACCTGTACAGACTTCAGGTGAACAATAGAACAGATCATACTGTACTGTTAGGAAATATATTTTACACTCTCCCAGTAGAGTGCTAGCGTTAGCGCTTAGCACAGGGGAATATCTGCATGAATCTCAAGAGGGTTAACAGTAAACGTTCTGTCCTATACGTTGTGATATAATCTTATTAAACCAGGGGGAGGGGTTATTTATGCTAGTCCCATTAACTTCTATATGATTAGTCATATACAGTGGGGAAAAAAAGTATTTAGTCAGCCACCAATTGTGCAAGTTCTCCCACTTAAAAAGATGAGAGAGGCCTGTAATTTTCATCATAGGTACACGTCAACTATGACAGACAAAATGAGAAAAAAAAATCCAGAAAATCACATTGTAGGATTTTTAATGAATTTATTTGCAAATTATGGTGGAAAATAAGTATTTGGTCACCTACAAACAAGCAAGATTTCTGGCTCTCACAGACCTGTAACTTCTTCTTTAAGATGCTCCTCTGTCCTCCACTCGTTTCCTGTATTAATGGCACCTGTTTGAACTTGTTATCAGTATAAAAGACACCTGTCCACAACCTCAAACAGTCACACTCCAAACTCCACTATGGCCAAGACCAAAGAGCTGTCAAAGGACACCAGAAACAAAATTGTAGACCTGCACCAGGCTGGGAAGACTGAATCTGCAATAGGTAAGCAGCTTGGTATGAAGAAATCAACAGTGGGAGCAATTATTAGGAAATGGAAGACATACAAGACCACTGATAATCTCCCTCGATCTGGGGCTCCACGCAAGATCTCACCCCGTGGGGTCAAAATGATCACAAGAACAGTGAGCAAAAATCCCAGAACCACACGGGGGGACCTAGTGAATGACCTGCAGAGAGCTGGGACCAAAGTAACAAAGCCTACCATCAGTAACACACTACGCCGCCAGGGACTCAGATCCTGCAGTGCCAGAAGTGTCCCCCTGCTTAAGCCAGTACATGTCCAGGCCCGTATGAAGTTTGCTAGAGTGCATTTGGATGATCCAGAAGAGGATTGGGAGAATGTCAGATGAAACCAAAATATAACTTTTTGGTAAAAACTCAACTCGTCGTGTTTGGAGGACAAAGAATGCTGAGTTGCATCCAAAGAACACCATACCTACTGTAAAGCATGGGGGTGGAAACATCATGCTTTGGGGCTGTTTTTCTGCAAAGGGACCAGGACGACTGATCCGTGTAAAGGAAAGAATGAATGGGGCCATGTATCGTGAGATTTTGAGTGAAAACCTCCTTCCATTAGCAAGGGCATTGAAGATGAAACGTGGCTGGGTCTTTCAGCATGACAACGATCCCAAACACACCGCCCGGGCAACGAAGGAGTGGCTTCGTAAGAAGCATTTCAAGGTCCTGGAGTGGCCTAGCCAGTCTCCAGATCTCAACCCCATAGAAAATCTTTGGAGGGAGTTGAAAGTCCATGTTGCCCAGCGACAGCCCCAAAACATCACTGCTCTAGAGGAGATCTGCATGGAGGAATGGGCCAAAATACCAGCAACAGTGTGTGTGAAGACTTACAGAAAATGTTTGACCTGTGTCATTGCCAACAAAGGGTGTATAACAAAGTATTGAGAAACTTTTGTCATTGACCAAATACTTATTTTCCACCATAATTTGCAAATAAATTCATTAAAAATCCTACAATGTGATTTTCTGGATTTTTTTTTTTCATTTTGTCTGTCATAGTTGACGTGTACGTATGATGAAAATTACAGGCCTCTCTCATCTTTTTAAGTGGGAGAACTTGCACAATTGGTGGCTGACTAAATACTTTTTTTCCCCACTGTACATTATAAATCAATGGCTATTCCATTCCGATGAGAGTAGCAAAGATGAGAAAAATGATTGTTTGTGTTATAAGGACCGTATAGCTTCAGAGCTTTACCACAGGCATTATGTTGGTTCTCAAAGTGTGCAAGCTCATATATGTAATTGAGGAACTGTAGGGTGTATTTTTCTTCTTCTAATGAGTGGTATAATGTTTTAATGCCTGTAGGTAGGTTGTCATGTAATATGTGCTGCACGGTGATAGACCATTTAAATCCTCCATTACCAAGGGGCGGCAGGTAGCTTAGCGGTTAGAGCGTTGGGACAGAATCCCAGAGCCCGGCAAGGTGGAAAACTCTGCTGTTTCAGTATGAAAAATGTATGTACTCACTAACTGTAAGTCGCTCTGGATAAGAGCGTCTGCTAAATGACTAAAATGTAAATGTAAATGTTCTGCCCTTGAGCAAGTCAATTAACCCCCACAACAACTGCTTCCCGGTTGAATGCATTCAGTTGCGCAACTGACTAGGTATTCCTTTCCCTAACAGGATTTATATAACGTGAAGGGATATAGTCCATCTTATACAGAATAACCTTTGTAGATCCCCTGTAGCTCAGTTGTTAGAGCATGGCGCTTGCAACGCCAGGGTTGTGGGTTCGTTTCCCTCGGGGGGCCAGTATGAAAAATGTATAACACTCACTAACTGTAAGTCGCTCTGGATAAGAGCGTCTGCTAAATGACGTAAATGTAGATAATGGTATTACAATGGTAAAAGACAAAACATTTTATAAACAAGATTAAGGAGGAAAGGATTTTAGGCTTCATGTTGTACTTATGCACTATATACATGTACATAGTAAGGATCAAGTGATTAAAACTAAATCCACACTGCATCCTGGACCCTCTATAGTGCACTCAGATGTCAATCAAGCAATGTTGCCCATTTGTCTGAACTTTTCACCTTTAAAGGTCCAATGCAGCCATTTTAATCTCAATATCAAATCATTTTTGGGTAGCAATTTAGTACATGTTTTGAATTAAAAAATGGTCAAAAAGAAACAAAAATAGCTTCTTAGTAAAATAGCTATTTCTCAATCAAGAATTTTGCTAGGACTGTCTGGGAATGGACTGAGTAGGGAGCAGAAAACAGAAAATTAGCTGTTATTGGCATAGAGGTTTGGAACTCTCTGTCTTGTTGGTGTATTAACAAATTTACCTCCTGGTGGTGTCACCAGATAGGCCAAAACTCCATCCCACCAAAACAGGCTGAAATGTTAGGCGGTCTTTTCAAACAGCTCTTACACTAAAAGGGTAATCATCATCTTCACAATATTATTCCAACCTCATAGTGTGGAAATGTACAGTACCAGTCAAAAGTTTGGACACACCGATTCATTCAAGGGTGTTTTTTTTCTTTATTTTTACTATTTTCTACATTGTAGAATAATAGTGAAGACATCAAAACTATGAAATAACACATATGGAATCATGTAGTAACAAAAAAGTGTTAAACAAATCAAAATATATTTTATATTTGAGATTCTTCAAGTAGCCACCCTTTGCCTTGATGACAGCTTTGCACACTCTTGGCATTCTCTCAACCAGCTTCACCTGGAATGCTTTTCCAACAGTCTTGAAGGAGTTTCCACATATGCTGAGCACTTGTTGGCTGCTTTTCCTTCACTCTGCCGTCCGACTCATCCCAAACCATCTCAATTGGGTTGAGGTCGGGGGATTGTGGAGGCCAGGTCATCTGATGCAGCACTCCATCACTCTCTTTCTTGGTAAAATAGCCTTTACACAGCCTGGAGGTGTGTTGGGTCATTGTCCTGAAAATCAAATGATAGTCCCACTAAGCCCAAACCAGATGGGATGGCATATCACTGTAGAATGCTGTGGCAGCCATGCTGGTTAAGTGTGCCTTGAATTCTAAATAAATCACAGACAGTTTCACCAATAAAGCACCCCCACACCATAACACCTCCTCCTCCATACTTTACGGTGGGAACTACACATGCAGAGATCATCCGTTCACCCACACCGTTTCTCACAAAGACACGGCGGTTGGAACCAAAAATCTCAAATTTGGACTCCAGACCAAAGGACACATTTCTACCAGTCTAATGTCCATTGCTCATGTTTCTTGGCCCAAGCAGCTCTCTTCTTATTATTGGTGTCCTTTAGTAGTGGTTTCTTTGCAGCAATTCGACCATGAAGGCCTGATTCACACAGTCCCCTCTGAACAGTTGATGTTGAGATATGTCTGTGTCTTGAACTTGTGAAGCATTTATTTGGGCTTCAATTTCTGAGGCTGTTAACTCTAATGAACTTATCCTCTGCAGCAGAGGTAACTCTGGGTCTTCCATTCCTGTGGCGGTCCTCATGAGAGCCAGTTTCATCATAGCGCTTGATGGTTTTTGCGACTGCACTTGAAGAAACTTTCAAAGTTCTTGACATTTTCCGTATTGACTGACCTTTATGTCTTAACGTAATAATGGACTGTTGTTTCTCTTTGCTTATTTGAGCTGTTCTTGCCATAATATGGACTTGGTCTTTTACCAAATAGGGCTATCTTCTGTATACCCCCCCCTGCCTTGTCACAACACAACTGATTGGCTCAAATGCATTAAGAAGGAAAGAAATTCCACAAATTAACTTTTGAGAAGGCACACCTGTTAATTTAAATGCATTCCAGGTGACTACCTCATGAAGCTGGTTGAGAGAATGCCAAGAGTTTGCAAAGCTGTCATCAAGGCAAAGGGTGGCTATTTGAAGAATGTCAAATATAAAATATATTTTGATTTGTTTAACACTTTTTTGGTTACTACATGATTCCATATGTGTTATTTCATAGTTTTGATGTCTTCACTATTATTCTATAATGTAAAAAATAGTAAAAATAAAGAAAAACCCTTGAATGAGTAGGTGTGTCCAAACCTTTGATTGGTAGAGTATATCAAACACAGAAAAATCACATTTTTGACTGCATTGGGCCTTTAACCTTTCACGTTTGACTTCTGTCTCTGCCTCTCTCCACAGTTCCCACACAGGAGGACATGTCCAGCCTGACGCCAGACTCTTCACCAGAGTGAGTGACCCGGGAAAACATAAATACAACGTTTGACAAACATTGAGGTAAAGAAAGTCGCACACTCTAGTTATGCTCCCAAACCTTGAAGAAGGCACTTCTTGCCAAAAAGTTGTTTGCTATATCCATGACATTTTTGGGAGCATAACTAGAGTGTGCGACTTTCTTTCTTTTTATAGTTTACTTTCTGTTAGTCAGCACCTCTACAGAACATTTTTGGGTGTGTCAGCTTATGCCTTTTACTAAACATTTAGTGGTCAAGAACTATAGGGACCTGTAGGTGGTCTGTAGGCGTTCGTTCGGAGATCTAACGCAAGTCTTTAGGAAAATACCTGTCTATTTGTGGAAAAATCACCCTGATTAACTCTTTAGTCATATCCCAGTTTACGTATTTGCTCATGGCCTTGCCTACACCTAGCGACTTGTTTTTTAAATGATACGAGCAGAAATATTCCATTTTATTTGGAATGGCAAGCCAGACAAAACTAAACAGGCCTATTTATATAATGAATATGAATTCGGAGGGAAGAAACTATTAAATATTAATGCATTAGACCTCTCACTAAAGGCTTCAGTCATACAAAAGTTGTACTTAAATCCGAACTGGTTCTCTAGCAGATTAGTAAGAATGTCTCACCCGTTGTTCAAGAATGGCCTTTTTCCCTTTATTCAGATTACAACCTCTCACTTTTGGTTATTTGAAAATGAAATAATCTCCAAAATATTGCTATTTTTAAAACAAGCCATAGAAAGTTGGTTGCAATTTCAGTTTAATTCACCAGAAAAGACAGAACAAATATTACAACAAATATTATGGTTAAACTCAAATATACTAATTGATTAAAAAACTATATTTTTGGAGAAAAACATTAAAAAATTGCATAATCTTTGTAAATTATATCATAAATAGGACTGGTGGAGTTATGTCACATAAGAAGCTAACAAAAATATATGGAAATGTCTGCTCTACTCAAAATTACAACCAACCAATTGCAGCATTACTGCAAAAATGGAAGAGGCAAGTGGAAGGCATGTTGGTAGAGTATGGCGCTTGCAACGCCAGGGTTGTGGGTTGGATTCCCATGGGGGGCCAGTATGAAAATGTATGTACTCGCTAACTGTAAGTCGCTCTGGATAAGAGCGTCTGCTAAATGACAAAAATTTTAAATGAAGGGGGAGAAAGTAAGGAACTTGTCTGTCAGTCCTGCATTAAAGACCAAAATTGGTTAAAGAAAATTGTGATAAATAAAAAAGTATACCAGTTTCATTTAAAGACCAACAATTTTACAGCTGTGCCATATAGATTGCAAAATAGTTGGGAAGAGATTTTCGATGTACCGATTCCATGGCACATGGTTTATGAACTGATATACAAAACGACTCTGGATTCAAAACTTACGAGTTTTTCAATTTAAATTATTATACAAAATTCTTACAACCAATAGAATGTTAGATATATGGGGGATACAATTATCCCAGCTCTGCAGATTTTTCTGCGAAGAGTCAGAATCATTAGATCATTTGTTTTGGTACTGTCCATATGTACAGTTGAAGTCGGAAGTTTACATACACCTTAGCCAAATACATTTAAACTCAGTTTTTCACAATTCCTGACATTTAATCCTAGTAAAAATTCCCTGTCTTAGGTTAGTTAGGTTCACCACTTTATTTTAAGAATGTGAAATGTCCGAATAATAGTATAGAGAATGATTTATTTCAGCTTTTATTTCTTTCATCACATTCCCAGTGGGTCAGAAGTTTACATACACTCAATTAGTATTTGGTAGCATTGCCTTTAAATTGTTTAACTTGGGTCAAACGTTTCGGGTAGCCTTCCACAAGCTTCCCACAATAAGTTGGGTGAATTTTGGCCCATTCCTCCTGACAGAACTGGTGTAACTGAGTCAGGTTTGTAGGCCTCCTTGCTCGCACACGCTTTTTCAGTTCTGCCCACACATTTTCTATAGGATTGAGGTCAGGGCTTTGTGATGGCCACTCCAATACCTTGACTTTGTTGTCCTTAAGCCATTTTTATCACAACTTTGGAAGTATGCTTGGGGTCCTTGTCCATTTGGAAGACCCATTTGCGACCAAGCTTTAACTTCCTGACTGATGTCTTGAGATGTTGCTTCAATATATCCACATCATTTTCCTTCCTCATGATGCCATCTATTTTGTGAAGTGCACCAGTCCCTCCTGCAGCAAAGCACCCCCACAGCATGATGCTGCCACCCCCATGCTTCACGGTTGGGATGGTGTTCTTCGGCTTGCAAGCGACCCCCTTTTTCCTCCAAACATAACAATGGTCATTATGGCCAACCAGTTCTATTTTTGTTTCATCAGACCAGAGGACATTTCTCCAAAAAGTACGATCTTTGTCCCCATGTGCAGTTGTAAACCATAGTCTGGCTTGTTTATGGCGGTTTTGGAGCAGTGGCTTCTTCCTTGCTGAGCAGCCTTTCAGGTTATGTCGATATAGGACTCGTTTTACTGTGGATATAGATACTTTTGTACCTGTTTCCTCCAGCATCTTCACAAGGTCATTTGCTGTTGTTCTGGGATTGATTTGCACTTTTCGCACCAAAGTACGTTCATCTCTAGGAGACAGAACGTGTCTCCTTCCTGAGCGGTATGACGGCTGCGTGGTCCCATGGTGTTTATATTTGCGTACTATTGTTTGTACAGATGAACGTGGTACCTTCAGGCATTTGGAAATTGCTCCCAAGGCTGAACCAGACTTGTGGAGGTCTACAATTTCTTTTCTGAGGTCTTAGTTGATTTCTTTTGATTTTCCCATGATGTCAAGCAAAGAGTTTGAAGGTAGGCCTTGAAATACATCCACAGGTACACCTCCAAGTGACTCAAATTATGTCAATTAGCCTATCAGAAGCTTCTAAAGCCATGACATCATTTTCTGGAATTTTCCAAGCTGTTTAAAGGCACAGTCAACTTAGTGTATGTAAACTTCTGACCCACTGGAATTGTGATACAGTGAATTATAAGTGAAATAATCTGTCTGTAAACAATTGTTAGAAAAATTACTTCGGTCATGCATAAAGTAGATGTCCTAACCGACTTGCCAAAACTATAGTTTGTTAACAAGAAATGTGTGTAGTGGTTGAAAAACTAGTTTTAATGACTCCAACCTATGTGTTTGTAAACTTCCGACTTCAACTGTAGCTTGTTTTTGGTCGCAGGTTCAGGAATGGCTGTAGAATTGCAACATTTACCTGGAGCTAACTTTGCAAATAGCACTGCTGAGTGATTTAAAAAGTCATAGTCAATCGATCAATAATATAATACTCTTAGCAAAACATTTTTTTTTATTTACAATCTGTAGAAACTATGAGAATAGAAAGGTTCAGAACTTTTGTGAGAAACATCACAGCACATTTGAAAAATATAATCAAAACTGGATGGTATTCAGAGATAGATTGGAAGGGTTGAGTGGAGCTGAAGGATGGGACTAAAAACAAACAAAAGATAACTATTGTAAAATATACTGTGTCCGTAAAATGTATGTAGTATGTATAAGTTGAAAGCCTAAGTGTTGTTGTCCAATAGTTTACTCAAATTAGCAGAGGGGTGGTAGGGTTAGGGGAAAATAATAAAGGAAAATATATAAAAATATATATTTACAAAAAATATATATGGGGGATGGAAAATGATGCAGACAATTACATTGATGGAAGCTACAATATATCTGCAATATTAAAGCTGATCTACCCCATAAAAAAAGAAAAATATATTTTTTGGGGGGGGGAAGTAGGTCTCGGGCAAGGTTACTAGTGATTGTGGTTCACCGATGTTGGCTCGTTGAGCTAAAGTCTGGAGACATTAGTTCAGGGAGCTGCAGGTCTCAGGCAAGGCGTAGGATCTCATGCACTTGATTGTGGGTCACTGAACCACCTCTGTTACATGCATGTGCACGAAAGTCAACTCATTCTACCTTTCTACCTCTCTGGTGTTTTCGCCACTGGGAGAGTGGTAAGGTACAGACAGTAGAGGATTCTGCCCAAGGGACCTGTGTGAACAGTCCCCACAATTATGCAGATTGGACCCCTCCCAGTATTGCATCCATCTCTCCTTCCTGTTGATTGGGCTATTTTTAGAGAATTTTTCCCCATGAATATTTTAGTGGTTTAGTTCCAGTTTGCTTCACAGACAGAGAGAGACACAGCTAGAGTCTGGTTGGATAGTTGGAGATGAGGCAGAAACGAGGAAGGGGCCTTTAGGTAGGTTAGTAGCAAAGGTAGTCAGGATGATGTCATTGCTATTGGGGACCAATATGAGGCCATTTGGCCATTTGGACAAGCAGAGGGAGGAAGAGGGCTTACAGAACATGCACAATGGTTGAAGTTAGATGGTAGAGGGAGGTGGAAACAGAATAGCATGGTTCAGATATGTATGCGCTTTAACCAACTCCTATGACTATTATTGTCATGGCATACATAATAGTCACCAGTTGGTTGACGTATACATCTGGAGCAGGCTAGGAGGGACAAAGTGATTTTAGATTAAAATAATATTGAATTTAACACTACTCCCTTAAACAGTTTCTGTTCATTACCCTCTGTAGCTCAATTGGTAGAGCATGGCGCTTGTAATGCCAAGGTAGTGGGTTCGATCCCCGGGACCACCCATACGTAAAAATGTATGCACACATGACTGTAAGTCGCTTTGGATAAAAGCATCTGCTAAGTAGCATATTATATTAAAGATCAAGCAAAGCATGGTAAATGTTGCATTATGCAAATTAGTCTGGCACTATGTTAATTATTCCTCTCGACATGATGCATTAGTCTTCTCTCCAGCAGATACTAAATTAAGTGTGTGTGTGTGTGCTTCCAGTTTGCTGACGTGTGTGTGTCTGTGAGAATGCACTTACAGTGTGTGTGTTTGTGCGTGTGTGTGTGTGTGAGAGAGAGTGTGTGTGTATGTGTCCTCATAAAACCCTTTTTTTCTCCCTCCCCGCAGGCTTGCCAAGAAGTCATGGTTTGGTAACTTCATCAACCTGGAGAAAGAGGAGCAGATCTTTGTGGTGATCAGAGACAAGCCTCTCAGCTCCATCAAAGCAGACATCGTTCATGCCTTCCTCTCTGTAAGGACTCCTCACCGCTCCTCTTTCTCTCCCTCTCCATCTACTGTATGTGTATCTCCTTGTCTCTGTCTATGTGTATCTCTTTCTGACTGTTTCTCTTTCTCTGGGTCTCACTGTTTTTCTGTCTGTCCGTCTGTATGTCTGTGCACCTCTCTCTCTCTCTCTCTCTCTCTCTCCTTTGTCACCCCCCTACTTATGATTCTGTTTGACTTGTTATTGTATGGATTTATATTTCACTGTTCCTGGTCTTCAAACATTGAAATCATTATTAGAGCTAGCACTCAAAGTGATGGCTATGTTCATTGGTTTGTCCTCGAGACGAAGTGGATGAATTCACTGTAAAGCAACTGTGATTTATCTTTTGATTTAGAGCAACTTTTAGTCAGTGCTACTGCCTGCATTTCCCTATGTTGATTTCCCAGTGAAGGTCAGTGCTATTGTGTAATCAGTGAACAGCAGCCTGCTTTTTGCAGTCTGCATCTGATTGGTGCACAGCAGTCTGGTTTCTGGCATTTAAGAGAGTCAAGGAAAGGGCTTGATTGAGTCTTCTAAAGTTTTTCTTGGCCACACTGGGCATAACTGTGTCATTATAATGGTGTAACACAGCCTCAAAACAGTCACGACAACGGATGGAAACTGACTTTGACACTGACACTGTCATGACACAACCATTATCGTACACTACAGTAGTTGGCTTGCATTAACCCTACGCCTAGCCAATTATCTAACCTTTACATGTCTGCTTTATTTCCCAGCAGGTTTGTTTCAGTTCATTTTAAAAGGCTCCCTAGTCCCTGAAGCCCACAACTGTGTTGATGCTGTGTGTCTCTTGTCTCTTCAGCGTTGTGTATTGTAATTGACTCAGTGTCTGATGGTCCCTAACAGCGCTGTGCTGCAGTGTAACAGATCCAGTGTTGTCTCTTCCTGTCTTGTCTCTCTTTGTCTCGCCTAATATCTGTATTTTAGCTCATGTACATATCGTTTTTCTCACTAGTCACACGTGGTCTCTGTATTTAAACTGATGTTTTCTCTCTTTTTTTCCTGTGCTCTCTCTTTGTTTTCGCTCTCTCTCTCTCCCACCCTCCACCTCCCTTTCCCATCTCTCTCCCTCTGCTTCCCTACCTCCTGCTTCCCGCCTGTACCCCCTCTCCCTCCCTGCTCCTGTCTCTCATATAGATCCCCAGTCTGAGCCACAGTGTGATCAGTCAGACTAGTTTCCGGGCGGAGTATAAGTCTACAGCCGGTCCTACAGTGTTTCAGAAGCCAGTCAAGTTCCAGGTGGACATCACCTACACAGAGAGCACCGCCGCCACCAAAGAGAACGGCATCTATTCGGTCACCTTCACCCTGCTGTCAGGTAACACACACAGAAAGGCAGGCAGTCAGGCAGGCAGGCACATGCGTGCACACACACATTTTAACATACACACACAAACACTGTATACACACAGACACTTCCTGAATATGTACACACATGCACAGACACCCACACATACACGCTGATGCAAGCACCATTACACAGAAGCCTGGTGAGAAGAGGACAGAGAAACAGAGACCTTTTCTCACCATAATCACACTGCGCTTTAGTCCCTGCTGAGTCTCAAAGGACAACCTCTGGCCAATGACACTGGAGCATCATCTCCAGCCAAATATTCTGTGTTGTCTCTGCAGTATGTCTGCTTATTCCCATGTGGATAACTTATGTTAAATTGATGTTGTTGAACAGACTCTCATTTAATTCCGCTGAATTCCATTGAGATTTACGTGTTTGAATAAAAATTGAAGCTTCATTGAGGCTATTGTGAGGAACATATAATATAAATGATGTCGTTGTTTTCATAACATTGACACTCTTTGCGTCCTACTGGTGTGGCATTGTGTGTTTCAACATCACAAGCTTATTTTCTGTCTATTATTCTGGTTATTTTCTAGAGTATTTCTTATTTTTCAGTCAATCAAGTTCTAAGACTGTTTCTCTCTATTTCTCTCTCACTCCCTTCCTCCACCTTCTCTCTGCCTCCCTCTCTATCTCTCCTCATTCTCTCTCTCTCTCCCCCTCACTCTCTACCTCCCTAATTTTTCTTTGTCTCCCTCTGTCTCTCCCCCTTTCTCTCTCCAGGTCCCAGCCGGCGTTTCAAGCGTGTGGTTGAGACCATTCAGGCTCAATTGATGAGCTCACATGACCAGCCCGGGGTCCAGCAGATCTCTGGTAAGTAGAGACCCTCCCCTCTCCCCCCTACACCCCTCCACTACCCGACCCCTCCACTACCCCCAACCCCCCTCTCGGCATCCCCGTAGCTCACGGCAACGCCACAGTCACAGCGCGGCTCGACTCACACGCTTTGGCACAAGGCTTCTCCACATGCATGGCCCACACCATGGCAGATGCACCCGGCACCAACAAAGCAACAACATTGGTGTACTCGAGACATCTAGAGGGTCACACTCTCTCCTGACTTTCTTGCATACACACACCAAGGCTCAGTCATGACCTACACACACAGAATTCATTTGACAACGTTTTCGGCTAACTTTTTACACTTTCCAACCAGCTCTAGGTTAAGAGGTTGTTTGTTGAACTTGTGTCCAGTATAACTGATGTAACACTTCAAAACGATCACATTAGCTCAGTACATGTATGTATTATATAGTTTGATATTCTGGGATGAAGATGGGTTGAACAGGGAGGAATGGAAGAAAAGAAAGACAGAGTCACGTTCTGTTCTTCACTTGTCCTTGTTTTTTTTGTGTGCCTGTATTGTATATACCTGGGATTTCTTCACTTGATAACAGCTCCCACTGCTGGTGAGACATGGCATTACATACATTACATAGAACAGACTATAGAATATAATAAGGCTAGAGCCATCTTCTTTACTCCTGGGCCCACAGTATAAGTGTGTGCAGGCTAATGTGTGTGTCCTAGTCTAGTGCTTTAACACCTGACTCAAATAATCAACTCATGAAAACCTTGGTGAAGTGTACAGGTGTGTTAAAGGGACATTTCTAAAATGTTCAACCTCATATTCATCATCTCCAGCACCACCCCAACATCAACATATATGAAAATGGCGTGTTTCTATGTTTTGTAGTAAAAAAAAAGATAGAGGAAGTTAAGTGTTTCCAATGACATCATCGGTGTGCATTTTAATCATTTATGGGTAGGCAATTTTCTACTAATTGTCAACTAATTGGTTGATGATGTCATTGGAAACACTTATCTTCCTCTATCTTTTTTACTACAAAACATAGAAACACGCCGTTTTCACATATGTTGATGTTGGGGGTGGTGCTGGAGATGATGAATATTTCCCTTTAATGCTAGCTAGCTGGCCTGAGACAGACACACACACACCTACTTCTAGGACCAGGAACGAAGAACACTGGTTTGACCACTCTCTAGTTCACACATTTAGCACACGTACCAGCTAGCGGTCTTAGCACTTTGAATGCCTGGGACTCACTCTGTCACAGATGGGAACTGTTATCAGGCACTGTATGCAACATCCCAACCACTTTCTCCATCAATAACTCATCCCCACCCCTCTTTTTCACTATTGCTTTCACTCTCTTTTTCTTTCTTTCTCTTTCTTTCTTTCCTTATCACTCCATGTATTTGTCCCCTTTTCTCTCTCTATCCCTCTTTCTTCAGGTTTGGGGTCAAAGGTTTTACCATATTCCAGGGAATTCATTGAAATTCAATTCATGAATTGAAAAAACATCATTTCAAATAGTGGTTGATTTCCAATTCATGAATTGAAATTCAGTTGTTTTCCAGAATTAGTTGAGGTGGAATTGACCACAACCCTGTAGCCCTGTATTTCCTATCCCTTTTCTCTTTCTTTCACCTGTCAGTCCATCCCAGCCTGCTTTTGGTCATCATCCACAGCTTCAATCTAACTGCACTTGGCACAGAATCACAAAAATAACTGAATGACTGATCTGGCATGCTGAGTGGAATGCAAGGGTTTCAACCAGAGCCATAGACAGTCTAGACACTGGAAACTGATCATCTATGTCTGCTCCAAATATTTCATACATGTGATGGTCTTGGACTTTTTGGTGCCAATATGGCTGCCTAGGTCATTCTAAAACTGAAACTGAGTTTGCCTAACTCTGTGTGTCAATGACTCTGGGGTGGACCAATGCACTGAATGCTAGATATCACACACTGATACTGAACAGTGTGTGTCACGTATGACAACACACTGAGGGCATGTGTTTTAGCCAGAAAACGATTTGACCAACCGCAACCGTTACTAATATTAAATCAACCGCTATACTAGATCTCTGCAATCTGTTTTCACTCACTCCTTCAGTGTTCGAGACAGAAGGGACTGCATGTGGTGCACTATTAGCTACTACAGATACACTCATACTGTGTCAATTCTGACTTCCTTTGCGCGTGTGAATATTCCATGGGAAAAAGGAAGGCAGGCCAGTATGAAAATGTATGCACTCACTTAACTGTAAGTCGCGTCTGCTAAATGACTAAAATGTAAAAAATGTGTGTGTTTGCGCAAATAAATTGTCTCGTCCTTTTGTACTTTGAGAGAGTGCCCCCATCCTAAGTAGAATATTTCTAATCTCCCATTAGCTTTCACCCTACCCAGCTAATTTACCTTATAGATAAGAGCTCGATCGAGAAAGAGAAAGTGTTACTTACAGAGACCTATCTAGAGAGACAGACTGACAGATGGGTAGAGACAGAGAGAAACAGAAAGTCTGAAGGAAGGCAATGGAAGTAGACCCCCCCCCCCCTCCCCCTTTAAAATGCATGGTCTTTAAACATCCATGCAATGTAAGAGTAGGACATTCCATTTGAAGGGTTTGATTCCAAATGCAATATATAAATGTTCTGAAATGTTGGTGACTTGACATTAATTAAAACACATCTTGTGAAAGAGATAGAGCTATTATTTTTGTATCTTAACATGACATGGGCTAGTGAAAAAATAGACATGATTTTGTTGAAAATATTGCAAGGTGATTTTATTTTAGAGAGACAAATAATCATGTTTTGTGGCAAAACGCTATATATCCACCCCAAACCACAGAACTCCAATAGAAAAAGTATCCCGATTGGGTTTTAAACAGTTCTATGTACAGTGCATTCGGAAAGTATTCAGACCCCTTGACTTTTTCCACATTTTGTTACGTTACAGCCTTATTCTAAAATGGATTAAATCGTTTTTTTCCCCCTCATCAATTTACACACAATACCTCATAATGACAAAGCAAAAACAGGTTTAGATGTTTTTTTCACATTTTTAGTAGGCTCTGGCTGGGCCACTCAAGGACATTCAGAGACTTGTCCCAAAGCAACTCCTGCATTGTCTTGGCAGTGTGCTTAGGGTCGTTATCCTGTTGGAAGGTGAACCTTCGCCCCAGTCTGAGGTCCTGAGCGCTCCGGAGCAGGTTTTCATCAAGGATCTCTCTATACTTTGCTCCGTTCATCTTTCCCTTGATCCTGACTAGTCTCCCAGTGCCTGCCGCTGAAAAACACCCCCACAGCATGATGCTGCCACCATCATGCTTCACCGTAGGGATGGTGCCAGGGTTCCTCCAGATGTGATGCTTGGCATTCCGATCAAAGAGTTCAATCTTGGTTTCATCAGACCAGATAATCTTGTTTCTCAATGCTGCAGAAATGTTTTGGTACCCTTCCCCAGATCTGTGCCTCGACACAATCCTGTCTCGGAGCTCTACGGACAATTCCTTCGACCTCATGGCTTGGTTTTTGCTCTGACATGCACTGTCAACTGTGGGACCTTATATAGACAGGTGTGTGCCTTTCCAAATCATGTCCAATCAATTGAATTTATCACAGGTGGACTCCAATCAAGTTGTGGAAACATCTCAAGGATGATCAATGGAAACAGGATGCACCTGAGCTCATTTTCGAGTCTCATAGGAAAGGGTCTGTAAATACAGTACCAGTCAAAAGTTTGGACACACCTACTCATTCAGGGGTTTTTCTTTATTTTTACTATATTTTACATTGTAGAATAATAGTGAAGACATCAAAACTATGAAATAACACATATGGAATCATGTAGTAACCAAAAAAGTGTTAAACAAATCAAAATATATTTTATATTTGAGATTCTTCAAATAGCCACTATTTGCCTTGATGACAGCTTTGCACACTCTTGGCATTCTCTCAACTAGCTTCACCTGGAATGCTTTTCCAACAGTCTTGAAGGAGTTCCCACATATGATGAGCACTTGTTGGCTGCTTTTCTTTCACTCTGCCGTCCGACTCATCCCAAACCATAGGGGATTGTGGAGGCCAGGTCATCTGATGCAGCACTCCATCACTCTCCTTCTTGGTAAAATAGCCCTTACACAGCCTGGAGGTGTGTTGGGTCATTGTCCTGTTGAAAAACAAATGATAGTCCCACTAAGCCCAAACCAGATGGGATTGCGTATTGCTGTAGAATTGCTGTTGAATTCTAAATAAATCACAGACAGTGTCACCAGCAAAGCACCCCCACACCATAACACCTCCTCCTCCATGCTTTACGGGGGGTAACTACACATGCGGAGATCATCCGTTCACCCACACCGC